CTTATGGGGAGCAAGCCTTACCTTTTAGGGCAGGCAGAGGGTATCGCATGGGTGAAGACTGCTGTGGAGGAAAGCCTGGCTGGTGTGGCGATAGCGTCCCCCTTTTTTTATTTCCAACATCATGTATATAGTACATGTTTCTGTACGGCAGGCTGCGTGGCAAATATTGTACCCTATTGTTGTTGTGACTAGATGATCGATCTCTCCGTTCACGGGGGATTTTGTTGTCGTGTCTATGGAGTTTTGTCTATATACGACCTGAATACAATCGCCCATTTGAACCGATTAAGACTCACTGTCTACATCTAACCTATCATTTGGATAGTCCAGCTTATGCTAAGTGTCAAGTCTAACGCCATACTTTACACATCTAGCCTCAAGCAGACGGTCATAAACTGACTGTAGCATGTCATCCTAATGACAATATTTCCCTACACGTTCCTTTCTCTCTACAGCTACATTTGTCTACTCCAATTCTGACCACTAAATTTATATATCTGGCGTCAGAGGAAGCTTGTGGCAGGAGATATGGAAATTTCAGGATTAGAATATGTTGAGGTAGCTGCTGGAGTAGGCGTAGTCACGTGCCTGGCGCTCAGGCCGTCCACAGATGATCTCTTACTTTGTTTTATTAGAGCATCTAGATAGTTATAAATTCAACTTATTCTTTTACTGTATTTCGTGTTGTTTCGCTTATTTTTTAGTTATTTTTATTGCTTTAATAATAATTATATATCTTAATAAATTATGAGCCCGGGCTTTCTTATATAAAGTTATTCAAACTTTTATATTACAGATCCTGATTTTAAATAAAACAGAAGATCTACGGCTTTTATAAGTAGTAAAAATAAATAAAAATACACTAGTCTTACAAAATTATTTTAATTTAATCTAAATATTTAATTCAAATATATATTGTGTTAAAAAAATATTTTATTTAATATATTTATCAGATTTATTTATATTAAGTATACTTATTTAGCACCATAACATATATAATAGAATAAAGTATTATATTTAAAGAAATATTTCTGATTTAAATAATTTCTACAAAAGTAATTATTTAAGTAGATTAGCTGTTAGTAATCTCTTTAAAAAACTTATTTAAATTACTGATTTTACTGAAGAAATACTCTAATTATACTAGAAATTTTAAGAATATTTTTTTCTGGTTCAAAAATTATTATATAAAAATTTTTATCTATTTTAATTTTTTTTAAATAACTGCTACAGTAGCTCGCCGCGGCTGAGGCTGATAAGTTTATAATAAATTATAAAAATAATAATATTATGCTGGCTGAGAGCAACCAGTCTTAATAAGAAAAATAATATAATAATAAATAATATTTAAAAATATATAATTAAATTATATAATATAGTTCTATTTATTTTATTTATCTTATTTTATTTACTTATTTTTATTATTTATATATATTTTTTTATATTTTCTTCTTTTCCTTCTCATGTTCGATATTCTAGTCTAGATGCATTAAATAAGACATGTTTGATCAGCTCTTATATTTATTACTTCTGAGCTTAGTTATTCTTAGTTTTTCTGCTTTTATTCTAAATATTTATTTTATTATCAGTTATCTGTAAGTTGTTTAATGATGGTAACCCGCCCCCGACTGATAGAATATAATAATAATATCAGAGTGATGACGACACCAGCTCGGATATAAATAAAAAATTTTTCCGATATTGGATTTAATAGTAATTCTAATACTGATGTGGATCTTGATAGTGGAGATTGAGATATTATGTGTCAAAACAGTGTTTCTGCCAAATAGGCCAAAACGATATATCGCTAGTTACTGAGCAGCAGGGATGACTCTACGCCTCAACAATATGCAGTCAGAGACAATCGGTTCATTGTAAGAGATGGTTTCTGCCAAAGTACTAGAAAAGATCGTAAACAATATGGCACACGTTGACTGAGATCGGCATTGTATATTTATACTACAATACATATGCCTTTCTTTCTCGCCAGACTTACATATTATTCTACTAGTTAGTACTACACGTTCATCTCTCAATGCACCGATGCACGGCCGGCCGGTTCTTGTTCTCTCCGTATTTTGTTCAGTTTATCGCTGAGATTCATGAATTGCCGCTTGGAAGGGCTACTTTTAGCGGCTTTAGCCAGAGAAGGCGCGAAGATTTTGGTTGACCCGCACGCATCCGGTATGCGATTATGAAGAGTACTGGGCGAGCCGCCTTGGTGCAAATGAGGCTATGTTTGCTCTGCATGCCATGGTTTTTCGATATTGTCAGGATTTCGTCTTATCTTTCGGGCTGAAGTGTAATATCGGATTTAGTACATGCACCCATATTCTCTTTCAGTCATCGTTCAAATGAAGATGAGGATTGTGTTGCCTTTTTGAGCATAGATGTCTTGCGGACACACCTTTGCCGTCTATGAACTTGAATAGCAAGCACTATATCATACTAATAAGAACAGGTATTCTAGGTAGCAAGCAAAAAAGAGCTTTCACTGATCATCGTTTAAAAGGCTATGTGCACATAGTTGCGTCAACAAAGATGGACATGGCTTTGGAATGAGTACACTTTCCCTGCAATGAACGATGAATCTTGTCTGTCTGCCAGCTTGGTTTCTAAGCACCTTATAAGGTATTCGTATCAATGGCATTACTCATATAGCAAAATGTGGATAACAGATAGCGGTGTCAATAGAGCTACTTCCAGGACCCTTTCTTCTAGGTTTAGTTATCCGCGAATTTCCCCAGCTGAGATCTCCTCGCAAACGATCTGTCCATCGAAGAACTCTACTCGGGCTGAGCCTGTGTGCTATAGTTACTACAATATTAGTTAGATAAGCAACTCATAAGTAGGTTGCAATGCTACGCTATTCATACACGGTGGGAAACTTCCAAGCTTTACTGCAATAAAGAAGCTTGTGACTGGATGATTCAGGAAAGAAAGCGTTTCGTGTCACGTATTTCTAACTCAAGTACGATTGTGAGCTATATGTATCGTGTAAAGCGGTTAATGATAAAGGCCTAACCTTTCAGATAAGCCGGCCCCACCTACTAAGATGCTCATCAGAAACAATAGGCATGCTTTAGCTAGCATGGTTATGATCAATGATCCAACATGAATATAGCTCCACTAAAGACAGATTCATACTATTTTGACAATGGCCTGGACTTCTCGGTACGACAGTTGTACCCAGCAAAAATTGACATAAGGTTATACTCCGTGTGGGCGAGCCGCCAGAGTCATACTTGCGCTCCTTGACCATATCCCTTCTACCTTCGTCGAGCGATATATTTCCATAAAAAGTACGTCGATCTCCTGGGGTGAAACAGTCAAAAGAAAGGCAAAAGCCGCAGATAAATACCCAAATCGTAAGGTGAGCTCTGAGAAAATCGCTTAGTGATATACAATGGCGCAGAGAACGGAATCTTTTGAATGCCATGGCCTGCTGGCGTGCGTATAAACGTTGGCAAGGGAAAAGTCCTGTTCCACTGGGCTTGTCTGGTAGTGGGTGCTGACAGTCAGGTCCTTATCATGCTTGGAGATTCTCTCATTATGCAAGCGCTACCAGCAGCTCATTCCACAGAAGCTGCAAGGAAGCCAAATAACATCGATCGAGATAGAAGAACGGCATGAGGCGGGTGCGGAGGTCCTTCCAGGACGTGATGGCATGCAGGTGCACCATCCGCGCGAGGGTCTGGACAAAGAACGTGCGTTCGTGCGCGAGAGCAGTATTACAACTACAAGCACCCATGACCAGGATCCAGATCAGAAGATCCGGATGCGCGGTAAAGGCTCCCGTGGCCAGAGTCTCTTCCAGGGCTGCGCGCAAGGCGATGATAGGCTGTGGGAAGATGCCGGCATTGGCGGGATAGAAAGCCCAAATGCTGCTGTTGTGGAAGAGGAGGCAGACGAGACGTACGCATCCCTCGATCGATGCATCTTCCTTAACAATTCCGGTTTCGGTATATCGATCGCTGAGGAGCATGTATTCGATATACAGGACCTCGCCATTGAAATAATCTTCGGTCTGTTCATCGTAGATCTGGTAATCAGCGGCCCGGATCGCCTCGGCGTACCAGGTCAGCTGCACCAGGTCGAAGATGATCTTGGATAGTTGCGGCCCAATCAACGCGCCAGTCAATTGTGACAGTTGTAATAATGGCGACGCGAGAAGGGCGAGTTCAGCAGTGGGAGGCAGGATGGGGTACGTTTGAGGACGAGTATTGCGGACCGGAGGAAAGATTGGTTTGGTATAGGCCATGCATGCTACACGTATATCTGTCCTGGAGATAAAGGATTAATTTGAGCTATAGACGTGAAGGGACTATTACATTGAGGAGCAGACTTACCATGAAATCTGATATCGTACGGGATACGGAACGTCTATGAAACTCCTGCGCAGTGCTACCATTTGACGTAGTCCGGCTAGGTGCATCTTCAGATAGGCGGGTGTACCTGTCGCAATCTGCCGAGAGTGAGACTTATTTGTCACCCGAGGGGGTAAAAGCGTAACCCAAAGAAGGGGGTGGGAAAGGCACCCGTACCTCGATCGTCAGCAACATGGATACAGACGCAATCAAGCCATCACTAGCTGCTCTGAGAGGGTCTGAGAGACCGCTATTGACCAGCCGGATTGTTTCTCCCCGATGGTGAAATGTGTCGAGCAGCAGGGGGCTAAATGGTTTATTGCTGGAACTCTTGAGAGGCAGCTCACTGGTCCGTAGAGCAATATCCGAGGAAGCAACACAGATACATGCATGAAGGCAGGCCTTATTGTTCTGAATCAATTCCCCCCAATGCCTTTTGATCGTGTCAAGCCGTCGGTTCTGGAAAGGCACACCGTCTTGGGAAAGATCAACTAAAACTAGACCGGACTATCAGTATCCGTCGATTAAGTTGCAGGTATCTAACCAAAATGTCGAGATGTAACTTACAATGCTGCAGATGTCGCATCATGCGATCGGTAAGAGGAGTATGAGAGGTGTTGAACGGATCTATGGCCGATTGTATTCCCAGGCTCCGGGGTATGGGGGACGATACTGAACAAATTAATTCATCTTCCTGGCCCTGACTGTCAGTCGAGCGCTGCGGCACAGATGCTTGAGCTGCAAGTTCAGCTTTGGGCCAGACCGGGCCCTCCGCATATTCGCGATCGGTCTCTGGGGGTTGGGAGGCTACACGTTTCCATGATCGACGTTTATGTAATTCAGTGCTAGATAGCCTTTTCTTCCGATTATGCTCGGACATCACATGGGATCGGATACGTTTCAGGTCCTCGGGCCTGGTGCCATCTGAAATAGATTTTGGACTCGCATGGACCCAGAAGAGAGTCGGGCGACCGGCCACAGCGCTGGTCGACTTTTGGGGTCCGGTTGTTCTCGCAGCGTCAGGTTTGGCAGGGGACAACGACAAAGTTGACTGTTCCTTAGATACTCTAATCAGCTCTGTAGCTTCCTCGGGAAAAGGAGGGATAGGTATTGTGTTGTAGGTGCTGCTGCTCGGAGAATTATCGGGCCCATGCCCTTGGGAGTCTGGTGAGTTTCCCACGGCATCAGTCCGGGCCAACCCGGGAGGCAACACCCTCATATGATTAAACGAATTCATCCTATCCAGTTCCTGTGCAGAACTATGCCAACTATTATTTCAGCGAAAGTGGGTTCGAGTAATCCCTCTACCGATCAGGTTCTTGATTCGAGGAAAGGGGGCAGAGCGGGGCCTGAAAACTGAATATATACACAAATACTCCGTAATAAAGCCAGCTTAACGGGAACAGCTATAATATAGCAAAGAACCAATGAAAAAGAGGACAGTGGGGGAGGGGGGTAGTTGTTGGTAAGCCGAGGGGGAAAAAAATGGAAAAAGAAAGAGGAAAGGAGGTAGGGGTATCGGGGGATGAGATAGTACGAGAAAAGAAAGAATTTACCAAGTGGTGTGTACCGGCACTCCATTGTCAAGGTCAAGCTTTGGTGCATGGCCCACTGCAAATCGGAGATATAGAAAAGCGCGCAATCTGTGTGTGGAGCGTCCGTGCGAGAGCATGCGTAACAGCGGCCTGCTTGTCAATAGCGCGCTATCCCCGATGTCAAGCTTCCTGTGCTCCGTTATGGCCTTGTGGGTGGTACTAGCGTTTTAGTGGAGATATGTAAATTACTACTGGCCAAAACAAAGTACGGTGGGTCGCTCAAAGTGGCGCGATATCCGTACACACACAACCTGCCAGAGCCTTGGGTGAGTGCTGCCTAGAAAAATAAACTATCAATGATCTAAGAACCCCCATATTATGGAGCCGGATATTTGGACTGGGCATTCCCTGTCATCCACCGTTCCATGGAAGGGGCCATGAAAATTAGAGACCAAACTCAGCACGCGGGTTTCTCTGTCATACCCTATTTCGTGCGCTTAGGTTCCGGGACATGCAAGGGCACAGCATTATTCCGGACATGGCTTCGTGTGCATATACAGACTGATTACGCTAGGAAGTGGACTCCTCATCGCGGCCGCATAGTGGGATATGCAAACGTGGGGACGGTCGCAGCCCCTTTGCAAACTGCTATTCATGGTCGTAGAAGACAAGTCGTACCGTCAGTCAAAATGTGCAGTGCCATCTGTTGATATCCCATCGATCGCCCACTGTATATTCTCCAAGCGATCGCTGCCCAACAGTTGACGAATCTCCTCTAAAACTTTGATGCCGAATGCTCCCATCCACCAATGTGACCGTAAGTGGTATAGAACCACGCAATAGTGCGCCATAATTGTCAATGCCATTGGCTGGTGGTCCAGAACTAAATCCACAAATACTGCTGGAACCTCCAGCAGCCAGGAGATTCCGACCAGTCCGGGATGGCTGCCCCAGGCAATATAACGCAGACATGAGGCCAAGCGATCGATGGCTTTGTTGTAAATTTCCCTGGTTTGGGGGTAATTCCTCCCTTTGCTATCGTCATTATGTAGTTTTCGCAGAGCATGAATGGCCAGGGTGGAAGTATTTGGCATGGTAGGACCGGTCTCCTGGCGGACTAGGAAAGCCAACTCCTCGCTTGGTTTGACTTCATCGATCAGGCGGAGAAGAACCTCCGGTGACCCGCGTAACTGGCGAAAAATGTGACAAAGATCTACCAACGCGGAACCGCTTGAGAATGGGGGCATTCGTATATGTCCGAAGGCGAGGATGATAAGAATATTGCACATAGCCATCATGAAATTGCTTTCTTTGCGACACCGCTCCGATCTGTCGCGGTTGATCTGCTTTTCAAGCCCGGCGCGAGCTTGATCCCAATGTAGAACAGCTAGACACTGGATTTGTTGGTGATCGTGTTGATCTCTCTGTGCGCTGTCCCCTCCGCAATTGTAAGCGATATCTAATGCTGCCACAGCTAGAATGCTATCCAGCAGTGGCGGGTTGCTCATTGCCTCTCGGACGATTGTGCTTCTCCAGATTTGGCCGTTTTTGCCATCGGGCGTGAGAGATCGATATGTACTGGCACACCAACGACTTAAGAGGGTCAGATCGCTTGGCTTCAGAGTACAGATCTCAGGCTCATGGCTGTGGTGATCACCATGACCTATGACCGGCAGTGAGGCAGGCAAAGAAAAATTGGAGGATTTTGGTTGCAACAGCTGGTCGGTTTGTATGGAAGTCAGGGAGGATGGAGACGTTGGGTTGTGACGGGGATTCTGTTTACATTGTCGTCACACTTGTTAGATAATAACAGACCAAGGGAGGAGGGCAACAGCGTACCAGCCTTTCGCTAGTATAGTATAGTTGGTGACCATTGATGAGTACCTTCTTGTTTCCTACCAGGTCTAACATGCTGCCCTGGGATGAAAAAAAGCCCGAATTAATTGTAGTATAAGAATGATATGAACAGAACGATGATGGCGGTGATAACGACACACCATGAATATAAGGGTCAAAGAAGATATTCATTCACTTGCAGGCCGAGCATGTTGTCTGGGCGTCAGATGAGGAATGATCCGTCCAGCTAACTCAAAGGAGTAAATGTACAAGCAGGACGTGAGATAATTTATTCGTTATTTATCAGCCGACCATTGATGAAGGTGTGGTCGGAGCCGACCTAGTAACAAGTGTCACAACCGCGAAATACATGGCCGTACAATACCCGTCGCTGTGGGGACCTTCCTTCCCGGCTCCCCGAGGTTGTCCTCTTTAGCCCTCGACTGATACCATTTGACATAACCATATATGCATTAATCAAATTGCAGCCAACCCTTGCTTTTTCTCGAAAAATTCCCGCTCCCCGCAGGTCAAGATGCAACTTTTCACAGAGATTATCCCTCCTGCGTATTTCCTGCCGGGGTTCTGTCTCACAGTGGCTGTCCTCGTGCTGTTGAGCTGCGTTCAGAATGCCATCCACAATCTCCCATACTACCGGATTCCCGCTGTTGGGATGAGCCGGTGGTCTCTATTTGACCGACAGGCTAATGTATGTTTTATGGCCTCGGCCAGGGCTTTGATCCGTGAAGGCTTTGAACAGGTAGTACCCTCCTGGACATATCTAAGCTTCGGACTGATACGCTGGGATACGGCTCGAATAGGGCCACACGATGTTCCAAGCAATGTTTCCCCACGGCCCTATGTTAGTGCTTCATCCAAAGTATGTGGATGAAGTTAGGAGACATCCTTCTCTCAGTCTAGAGGAAGCAGTCAAGGAGGTAGCTTGTTGAAGTATGTTCTTGAAAATACACTCTGACGTCAAATGCTAGTCTCTCCCAGTCGGGGATTATCCAGGGTTTGAGGCTTTTCGGGGCACAGAGAACCACCACATACTGTTAGATGTGATCAACCAAAAGATAACTCGAAATTTGAGTATGAGTCGCCTATGGTACCTTTCTACAGCCACAGCTAAATTGCTTTATAGAACAGTACACGATTCCTCTGGCCAGAGAAACGGAATTAACGCTCGACGAACATTTTGGCCAACCCCAAGGTTCATAACTAACCCCCAGTATGCAGTAGTCGCCCAGGCTAACAACTAAACACTTGACCCTTGTAGAGTGGAAATCCTATTGTTTTGCCAGCGAAGTCCCTTACATCGTCGCGCGCCTATCGACCCTTGTCTTCCTAGGAGAGCAAGTGTGTCGCGATACCGAATGGCTCGATATATCGGTGAACTATACTCTGGACATTTTCGGAGCAATAACCGCACTAAGAGGTTGGCCACCTATCCTCCGACCTGTCGTTCACTGGTTTCTGGAGCCTGCTCAGAAACTCAGGAAGCGTGTGCAAGTAGCACGACGGATTGTCCAGCGGGAAATGAGGAGGCGGCAACATGAACACAAGCCCAGGCAGCCGGATGCGCTGGACTGGCTTCACGAAGTCGCAGGCGGTCGCCACTTGGATGTGACTACAGCGCAAATCGGCTTGACACTGGTGACGATCCACACCACCTCTAACCTCCTCACCAACGTCATTTACGACCTGGCAGCGAATCCGCAGTATCTCCCTCCTCTGCGGGAAGAGATCCAATCGGTATTGGAGACAGACGGTACATTTCACAAGACCAGTTTGACCAAGATGAAGCTCCTGGATAGCGTGGTTAAGGAGAGCCAACGGTTGAATCCACCGGGCCTGAGTGCGTAAACCCTTGCTTGTTGAATTGATTATCACCACCTTCGACCACGTCGCGCTCAGCCGCACTGGAGATAATACTGATTTTGCAATGGGTACTTAGCTTCGCTACACCGCTACGCTATGGAGGAGATTACACTCTCGGACGCAACAGTCATTCCAAAGGGTGCCAGTCTCGTTGTCTCCGCCCATACTATGCAAGACGAGAGCATATATCTAAATGCGCACACTTACGACGGGTACCGGTTTTATCGGAAGCGGCAAGAGCCAGGACATGAAAACAAACACCAGTTGGTGATGACAAGCGCAGAGCACTATGGTTTTGGGCATGGCGTACGCGCCTGTCCCGGTCGGTTCTTCGCAACAAATGAGATCAAAATTCTTCTCGCGCACATCATCTTGAAATATGACATCCGCTTCCCCGATGGACAATCCCGCCCTGCTAATTGGGAGATTGGACAGGACCTGGTTTGTGACCAAACCGTGCAAGTCTTATTCAGGGCACGGTAGGCCGCTTTTAAGCTGCCGCCCCAGTGTATTTTACAACGAGTTCAGATAGAAAGAATAGCCTGATTGAGTATGTAGCGATAATGGATGGTGGCAGGGTATATAGTGAAGTGCCCCCAAGAAACGGGCCGCAGCCGAGAGATCGCGTCCGGTGGAAGTAATAGCCAAATAGTAACGGCTAAAGGCGCCTGGAAAGTCAATATTGCTCCACGAAAATCAGAGCGCCAATACAAACAACTACTAAACTCAATGCCTTTCGGTGCGGAGGACTAAAAACGTGACTCTCGATC